GAGACGGGGTTTCACCGTGTTAGCCAGGATGGTCTCGATCTCCTGACCTCGTGATCCGCCTGTCTCGGCCTCCCAAAGTGCTGGGATTACAGGCTTGAACCACCGTGCCCAGCCTAGGAGCTCGGTTTTTTAGCCTCCAAAGATTTCTTCCTTTTTTACAGCTCATGGATTTAGATCCACTCCCCAGTATTATAAACAGCATTTTTAGTTTTTCAGGATATATAATTTGCCATATTGCCAGAAACTTGTACATAGCATTTGACACTTTTTTGCCAATTTGACAAGCTCCCTTTTTCAAGTATTGTGATTTGAAATTATTTCTACTATATTTGAATTTATTTCTACCATTTGTAATATGTTGATCCTGATTTTTCAATGCTCCCCTTTCCGTTTATTTGGGAAGTCACACTCTGTATTCTGGTATTCTAACTACTTGAGCTCAGCTCATCGCTGTCATCTTCCCCTAAACTGCCTTAAAGCATCTTAATGCTTGTTTTTTCCCTCTGATCACATGTGCTACTTTTTTTTTTTGTGAGACGGAGTCTCGCTCTGTCGCCTAGGCTGGAGTGCAGTGGCATGATCTCTGCTCACTGCAAGCTCTGCCTCCTGGGTTTACACCATTCTCCTGCCTCAGCCTCCCAAGTAGCTGGGACTACAGGCACCCACCACCACACCCAGCTAATTTTTTGTATTTTTAGTAGAGTCGGAGTTTCACTGTGTTAGCCAGGATGGTCTCGATCTCCTGACCTCGTGATCCACCCACCTCGGCCTCCCCAAAGTGCTGTAATTACAGGCATGAGCCACCGTGCCTGGCCAACATTTTTTCCAGATACCTTACTGTTAGTGATTCCTAACTTCCACTGTGGCCAGATAACATACTTTGCATGATTTTAATTCTATCTCATTTACTGAGACTTGTTTTGTGGCCCAGCACAAAGCTTGTAATGAACATTGAGAAGAAAGTACTATTGCTGTTGACAGTGATTTTTTTTTTTTTTGAGATGGAGTCTTGCTCTGCCGCCAGGCTGGAGTACAGTGGTGTGCAATCTCAGCTCACTCCAACCTCCGCCTCCTGGGTTCAAGTGATTCTCCTGCCTCAGCCTCCCAAGTAGCTGGGACTCCAGGTGCATGCCGCCATGCCCAGCTAATTTTTGTATTTTTCACCATGTTGGCCAGGATGGTCTCGACCTCTTGACCTCATGATCCGCCCCGCCTGGCTTCCCACAGTGTTGGGATTATAGGCATTAGCCACCGTGCCAGGCTGACAGTGTTTTACAAATACCCAGCAGGTCCAGGTGGGTGACAGGCTTGTTCAGGGCTCCTGTGTTTACTTCCTTGTTGGTAGCTCATCAGTTGCTTATTGTGAAATGCTCCATAAACAGCCATACACATGATGAGTATGGATGGCCAGTCTTTTTTCCATAGATCTATGTCTTCATATGTAAAGTGCTTTGGTTATAATCAGCACATAACTGGGTCTCACTTCTTGTTTATAATCTCTGACTTTTAAATTGGGGTGGTAAGTCTATTATGTTCTCCTTTCCTGCCTTCTTTTGGATTAATATCTTTTAAAAGTCCTTTTTTTTTTTTTTTTTGAGACAGAGTCTCGCTCTGTTGCCCAGGCTGGAGTGCAATGGCGTGATCTTGGCTCACTGCAAGCTCCGCCTCCCGGGTTCATGCCATTCTCCTGCCTCAGCCTCCCGCGTAGCTGGGACTGACTACAGGCGCCCGCCACCACGCCCGGCTAATTTTTTTTTTTTGTATTTTTAGTAAAGGCGGGGTTTCACCGAGTTAGCCAGGATGGTCTCGATCTCCTGACCTCGTGATCCGCCTGCCTCGGCCTCCCAAAGTGCTGGGATTACAGGCGTGAGCCACTGCGCCCAGCTTAAAAGTCCTTTTAACTTGTACATTGACTCATATTTTTTATTGAGACAGTCTCACTCTGTCACCCAGGCTGGAGTGCAATGGCGTGATCTTGGCTCACTGCAACCTTCACCTCCCGGGCTCAAGAGATCCTCCCTCCTCAGCTTCCTTAGTAGCTGGGACCTGGGACTACAGGCCTGTACCACCATGCCAGGATAACTGTTGTATTTTTTGTAGAGATGGGGTCTTGCGATGTTGCTCAGGCTGGTCTCAAACTGCTGGATTCCAGCAATCCACTCACCTTAGCCTCCCAAAGTGGTGGGATTACACGTGTGAGCCACTGTGCCCAGCCTCTATTTTTATTTGTACAGCTCGGGACTCAACTGTGCTTCCTAAAGCTGAATATTTGTGTTTTTCAACTCTGGAAATCCCATTAAAAGTTGACTGGAGCCGGGCACGGTGGCTCCAATCCCAGCACTTTGGGAGGCCAAGGCAGGCAGATCACCTGAAGCCAGTTCAAGATCAGCCTGGCCAACATGACGAAACCCCTTCTCCACTAAAAGTATAAAAATTAGCTGGGTGTAGTGGCGGGCAGCTGAAATCCCAGCTACTTAGGAGGCTGAGGTAGGAGAATTGCTTGAACCTGGGAGACAGATTGCAGTGAGCAGAGATCGCACCATGCACTCCAGCCTGGGCGACAGTGAGACTCGTCTTAAAAAAAAAAGTTGATTGGAGCTTTTCATTCAACTCTTTTTTTTTTTGGACCCTGCTACCCAGGTTGGAGTGCAGTGGTACGATCACAGCTCACTGGAGCCTTGCTCTTGGGCTCAAGTGATCTTACCTCCTGAGTAGCTGGGACTACAGGCATGCACCACCACGTGGCTAATTTAAAATTTTTTTTTGTAGAGACAGGGTCTTGCCATGTTGCTTATGCTGGTCTTGAACTCCTGGGCTCAAGCAATCCTCCTGCTGTGGCCTGCCGAAATGCTGGGATTAGGAGCCACCCCGCTTGGCTTTCCTTTCCTTTCCTTCACACTCCATTTTTGGTCATTTCACTGTTCTGATCACTGATTTTCTCTCTTACCTGCTGTTGAGCTGATCTTTTGGAGTTTCTAATTTGTTTCAGGTCTTCAGAAAGACCTATCTGCTTCAGATGCAGGGCCTCGGTAGGTGGGAGTAGATGCTTGCTGGGTCTAGTCACACAAAAATTTTGGAGTTCCAGAGCACAGCACTTGAAAATGAGTAAGAGGGAAAGACTAGAGCAGTGGGAGGATGCTGCGGAGAGCCACAGACAGGCCCCCATGGCAGCCCTGAGGGAGACAGCTTTGGAGCGGGCAGAGAGCACTCAGGAAAAACACAGTGTGTGCTTTGGTGCGCCTGCGCCTTGGTAAGATTGTGGGACTCTCATGCTTGTTAAGCCACAACCTGTGCTCCTGGGCCCCAGCCTATGAGTGCTGGCAACCCTGGGCCCCCCTCTCTAGGGGCAAATCCAGGAACTGCCCCTTGGCTGAAGGTGGACTTAGGACTTGACACAAAACCTCACAGATTCCAACACAGCACTATTTTGGGTTTTTATTTTGTTGATGTTGGTTAAATCTTGTATCTTTTTTTTATACACAAGAAAATACTTCATGTACCTATGAAATAAGACAGGTAGGGAATATGTCCAGTGCAAACAGAGGACTCACACCTGTGCATAGACAGCACCATCCAATGATTGTCACTGCAGTCCATGGCGTTACCAAGGCTGCGCCACCCACGTGCTGCCCCAGGAGGCGCTACCAGGCTCTTCCGGCCACAGGTCTGTCCTCCACTGCATGTGGTGGCAGGGCGGGGAGGTCACAGGGCTCCATGATTGTGGGGCAGCTTCAAGGGCACATGGGGCGAAGGGCCTTGGAGGTCCCCTCCTCAGTAGGGGATGTCATTCTGATAGTACTGGATCATGTCGTAGGTCCGGCTCCTGAAAGGCCAAGGAAGAGTGAAGGGAGATGTGAGGAGTCAGCAGGGTCTGAGGTCCCTCCCCAGCAGGGAGCCCTCGCTGTCCAATCAGCCCCTCATGGCTGCCCAGCACCTGAAGGCACAAATGTCTCAGGCGTGCCCTCCCCCACCCAGTGACCACATCTCCTGCTCCAACCTGGGGGCCTCCAAGGCCACCTCATGCTCCTCAGCCAAACCGCTTCCATCTGTGGGAGCCACTGCTCTGCCACATGGGCCTCAGGGCCCTTGGCTCGTCCTGGCCAGATGCCCCCAAGGGGTCTGTATGCTCTCCTCGCACCTCTGGAGAGCCCCTTCTCGCCCTGCCCCAGCCCCTCTTGAAGTCCTGGCCGCCTGGTTTCTCTGCTTCCTCTCAGCAAGAACTCCTTCCGTGCCCAGTCTCCACACTGCCCTTGTTAGGGCGCTGGACCCGGGCGCCACCTGGGGGCAGGTCTCAGCTTCCTCTCACACTCCTCCGGCTGGCAGTTCCCCACGCAGATGGCCATGCCTGGGTCCCTCATCCTAGTCTGGATGTGGCCTGTCTCATGGCACAGCCTTGGGCCCCCACATGCCCCTCAGGGCCTTACTAACCCCACATGTGTAAGTGCTGCCCCCTTCGGGGATGGCTCACCTGCTGGGCTCGCCATCCTCCCTTTGTTCAGGCTGGACCCCTCAAAGCCGCCTCTGATTCCCACAGCGGGGAGCCTGTCAGCCCGGTGCTCCGCCTTTGGACCCTGAGCCAGCCCTCTCCAGGGCCCCCTGCACCCAGCTACTCCCACCACAGTAGTGACCAGCAGCCCGGCTTGCACTTCCAGTCACTGCTCACAAAGCAGCCTGAGGCAGGCACAGGGAAGGAGTGAGGTCTGACTCCTCAGCCCTCCTGGAAGGAGGGAGGCCTGACACCACATTCAGTTCTACTACTCCTGGCCTTGTGCCTCCACTGCTCCCTTGGCCTTACAAGCCCTGGCCAGTTGGGCCCAGCCTCTGGCCTCTGCCAAGTGTTCCCCTCAGCACACCACAGCCCCCTAAACCAGTGCCCCACTGCTCCTCAAGAGCTCCTGTCAAGGCTTGGGTCTTCATGAGAGGGGCGGCTCAGGGACAGCAGAATCCTCATCTCCTGGTGCAGGAAAGGCCCTGCAGGTGCCCAGGGGCTACTGAGGCAGAGGGTGAAGGCAGGAGGGCGGGGGACTCACCTGTTGCTGAGGAAGCAGCTCTGGATGACCTTCATGATGAAATTTGCAGCCTCACGCTCGGTCATGTTGGGGCTAAACCTGTGCCTGGGGGAGAGGCTGTGTCAGGGCTGCCATGGGTAGGGCCGTGCTGGCTTCCTGGCCCAGTGGGAGGAGGGTCTTCCATGGGGACGGACTTCAGCTGAGAGTCATGCCCTGGAAATGTACCTCTGGGGCCCATGTTGGAAGATGGGGTGCTGTGAAGGCCACGCCTGGCTTACTGTGGGCCCTGTCCCCTTCCCAGCATAACCTGAGTGCTCCCATGGCATTAGGGGACTAAGCATTGGGGAGCTAAGCTACTGCAGCCCTAGACCTTAGGGTCAAGATGGGGTGGGCGTAGCATCCGTGACATAATAGAGGCCCCTGGGTGGGTCCTTGGTGTGGCCAGCACAAGCAGGGGCCCCTCACAGGCGTGGTCTAGGGACAGAGCGTCACCCAGGAACCCTGTCTGCTCTGAGGTTCCAAGGAGATGACAACCACACTGACAATTACACAAAAGCTTCCTATCTTGGATGGACAACTGTCCCCCAGATGGCCTGCGTGTCCACCAAGGAACCTACTTCAAGAGCTTGATCGTCTGGCCGCGAAAACAGGGCAGGCCCGTGTCCAACATGAGAGTGACCAGGGAGACGACCGCGTCCATGTAGGGCCTGGGGAGAGATAGGAGGGAGCGGTGGGCTGAGGCCAGCCTAGGTGGTGGCCCTGCCTGTAGTCCTACGGCCTGGCTGATGCCAACAGCCTCAGGTGTGGGCTCCTGCCACCCACCTCCCCGCCACATCTTCTACATCTCTGAGGCAACTTTCAATCTGCTGCACTTGGCAACCCGTACCGCCCAGGCAAGGACTGCCCACGTGCACTCGACAGGCTGAGTGTCCCCCACATCAGGCTGCTGGCCATGGCTTCTGCACCTGGGTGGGACGCAGACACTCTGACCTGACTTTCCCTGCAGGGCAGTGCGCACGAACCCAGGTTGGATTGTGGCCTTGGCCAAGTGACCTGTATATGAAACTGGGACGAAGCCCATCTCTGGCATGTAGCCTGTGAGGTGGCAGGTGCTCAGGCTTTGGTGACGGGGTGGATGGGATGCCCAGAAAGGGGGAGCCCATGGCTGAAGGCATGGATCCCCAGGATCCTGCATCCTGGGGAAGGTAGCTGGAATTAGATGCCCAGAGCAAGAATTTACTGGCACGGGTGGGCAGACAGAGGTGACCAAAGGACAGGCATAGGTCAGCAGGTGGCTGCTAGCAACTACCTCACTCTCTGGAACCTGATCCCCTTCTAAGGGGGACCTCAGAACGTTCCCCACACGCCCTCTGCCTCCACCCTGGCCCTCACCCAGGCTCACCGCACAGCCAGGTAGCCACGCACACACATCTCCATGAACCACTTGAAGGGCGTGGCCTCCATCTTGCCCCCCATGATCATCACCATCTCATCCGTCAGCTTAATGTCGGGTTCCCAGCCAAGATTGCCGCCGGGCGAGCTTTCAAACATGAAGCCAAAGTCTGCAAAACCCCAAAGAGCTGCCTGTGACTGGGCTAGGAGCCAGGGCAGGCAGGGACGAGTGGTCTGTTTTGAGGAGGAGAAAAGGACTGCAACAGCAGCATCCCCTCCACCCCCAATAGGCAGGTTGTGTTTTCTTGGGGACAGTGATAGGGTGGGTGGTGGAGCAGCAGGCAGAGGAAGAGAAGGGAGAAAGTGGAGGCAGGAGTGAGCCAGGCTGGGGCACTGAACTTGGATAAGCCCCACTCCGCCTAGCTCCAGCTTCTGACTCAGAGCAATGGCTGCTCTCACCCCAGCTCCTTGGAGCCGGGGCCAGGCACCCTCCACAGCAGAACAGCTTGGTGGCTGACAGTTCGGACCTCAGAACTGGACCCTGACACTCCTGGCAGGGTGGTCCTGGGCATGCTTCCCTCTGTGGGGTGGGGATCCCTAGCCTCCCCTGGGTGCCAGGGGTGAAGGGAGAGGAGGGTGGCACTGTGGCTGGCTGACCGATGTGGATGATATGGCCCTTCTTGTCCAGCATAATGTTGCCGTTGTGTCTGTCCTTGATCTGCAGCAGGAACAGCAGGAGGCTGTAGGCGGCCATGCTTCGGATGAAGTTGTAGCGGGCCTGTGCAGAGAGCGCCCTGGGCTCACAGAGGCCCTGGGGCCTGTGGGTACCCTCCCTGGTCCTACACCCAGGATCCCTGGGCCTGTGGGCACTCTCCCTGGCTCTGTGACCCCACTGTGGAGGCAGAGCCCGAATCAGCAAGCCAGTCTTCGGCAGCAGGAGTGACAGGGGCTGTCTGTGGATGTGGGGGTGTAGATGCTTCCTCCCACACCCAGAACTTAACTTTCTTCTGAGGAGTTCAGCCCAGCTCTACATTCTTTTGACTCCCAAAGTGGCTTACAGATGCTCTGGTGTTTTTTTTTTTTGAAATGGAGTCTCGCTCTGTCACCAGGCTGGAGTGCAGTGGGGCGATCTTGGCTCACTGCAATCTCTGCTTCCTGGGTTCAAGTGATTCTCCTGCTCCAGCCTCCCAAGTAGCTGGGACTACAGGTGCCCGCCACCATGCCCAGCTAATTTTTTTATTTTTAGTAGAGATGGGGTTTCACCATCTTGGCCAGGATGGTTTCGATCTCTTGACCTCATGATCCGCCTGCCTTGGCCTCCCAAAGTACTGGGATTACAGGCTTGAGCCACCGTGCCCGGCCCGGTGCCCAGGTTTTAACCCTTAGCAAAGGATGACTGAGGAGAGCAGGGTGTGAGTGGAGGCTGGGGTGGAGTGGAGCGCACATGCACCCGCCCACCCCAGGCTGTGGCTGCCCTGGCTACCTGCTGGAAGGCCAGGGTGGACTCGTCCCCGTACTGGCGTGTGAAGTAGTCGTACATGCCGAAGTCTGTCTGGCGGCCCAGCTGGTCCCGGGAGGTGCAGTCGGGGATGCACTCAATCACCCCGCACTAGGGAGGAAAGGCCAGTTCTGAGCCCGCCGGGTGCGAGGTGCCCAGGGCTGCCCTACTGGCTCCACTCAGGGAACTTACCCCAGGGGCAGTGGCCACCACGCGGTAGGGAAAAACAAAGAGGTCCAGGCCGACCAGCTGGAAGATGTTCTTGAAGAGGTCGATGATCTGCAGGGCCAGCATGTCCTGGGAAGCCGGGACATGCGGGATGCGGTCAGCTGGCCATGCACCCCAGCACCTCTTCTGGCTCATGCAAGGCAGAGGCCAAGCACCCAGAGATGGAGTGAGGTGGGGAGGCCACAGCTGAGCAAGTCTGGAAGGCCTTGCCTTCTGACCATCAGGGGCTGGACTCAGGCTGCTGGGACCACCAGGTCCTGGGCCGAGCATGAGGCTGAGCTGTCTGGTGGGGTGTGTGAGATAGGGCACCCAACCCCTGGGCAGTTCCCTCAGGTGGGCACTGGCGGACACAGTGGGAGAAAGGCTGGAAGGAGAGGCCTCTGGGTTTTGCAGAAGCCCTAATTTACCCCATGGCACCTGAACCATATAAGAGGAGGCAAAGATTCACATTTCTGCATATGAGATTGGACTCTGGCCGGCCTGGAGCCTTGGGGAGCAGCAAGCCCAGCCCCTAAGCCTACCCTAGGCCTGACCCTGCTTACCTGCCGGCAGTCGTCCCCCACTTTGAAGATGGCTGCCTGCCAGGAGATCTTCTGGCCGTCGGCCTCCTGCGCGCTGCACTCATCCTCGGAGTCTGAGCGGCACCGCAGACCTGCCCACAGGGAGAGAGGCTGTTGTCAGCCTGTAGGCAGTGAGAAGCCCTCTAAGGGGGCCAGGGGTAAGTCTTCTCCCATGCCTGAAAGAAACGCCAGCAATCTTGGGGATCACTTCTTCAAAGCCCCAGGGAGGCCAAGAAGGAGCCCAACAGTGTGGGCGGCAAGTCACCCAGGTGCCAAAGCAAGAGACCGAGGGCACGAGCTGTTCCAGTATATTATATAAAATAACAAGTTATAGAGATATAAATCATAGACACAATTACATATATCATTAATCATTAGTTTGTAGCAATGACTCTTTATTCCAATATTATAATAATCTTTGCTGTACAATTATAACCTAGGAAAAACCAGGCCATACAGAGACAGGAGCTGAAGGGGCACGGTGAGAAGTGACCAGAAGACAAGTGTGAGCCCTCTGTTAAGCCCGGACACGGCCACTAGAAGGCTCCTTGGTCTAGTGGTAACGTCAGCGTCTGGGAAGGCGCCCGTTACCTAGCGGACCGTGGTCTAGTAGTAGGAAAAGCACCCGCTACTTAGCAGACCGGGAATGGGAGTCTCCCTTTCCCCAGGGGAGTTAGAGAAGACACTGCTCCACCACCTCTTGTGGAGGGCCCGACATCAGTCCGGCCCACTCGCAGTTATCCGGAGGCCTAACCGTCTCCCTGTGATGCTGTGCTTCAGCGGTCCACGCTCCTGGTCCGCCTTCATGTTCCACCCTGTACACCTGGCTCCGCCCTCTAGATAGCAGTAGCAAAATTAGTGAAAGTATTAAAGTCTTTGATCTTTCTGAAAAGAGCATAGAAGAAATAATGACGTAAGCTGTCCTGTTTCCACCTCAGCTACCTAACAGGGAAAGGCCCCCTGTCCGGTGGGCACGTGACTCACGCGACCTTATCAATCATTAGAGATGACTCACACTCTTTACCCTGCCCCTTTTGCCTTGTATACAATAAATAACAGTGCAGCCTGGCGCGCCACTACCGGTCTCCACGTCTTGGTAGTAGTGGTCCCCCGGGCCCAGCTGTCTTTTATCTCTTTGTCTTATGTCTTTATTTCTATGATCTCTCATTTCCACACACGGGGAGAAAAACCCACCGACCCTGTGGGGTTGGTCCCTACACAACAGGGCTCAAGGAAAGCCTTGGAATAGCAAGTGGAATCCAGGGTCGGAGTCTAAGAACATTTAGGCTTAAATGGAACTAAAAACAGAGCCCCATTTCATCTGCAGTGAAGACCCAGGTATGCCTGGGTCAGTGTTGGGTGCTGTGAGCTGGGGGGCAGGAGGAATGTGTCTGTACACTGGGGTCCTGGGAGGGCTTGGGGCCAGTGTGCGGACATGGCCATGGGAGGTAGGTCCCTGCAAGGGGTGGTGGCCCCCTCTGCACAGCTGGCCACACTGTCTGTACTGGATTGAAGAGTGTCTCCCTAAAATTCATGTTCACCCCAAACCTTAGAATGTGTCCTTATTTGGAAACAGGGTCTTTGCAGATGTAATTAGGTTAAGACAAGGTCACAGTGGATCAGGATGGGCCCTAATCCAATGACTGACGTCCTTCAAGGGAGATCATCATGTGAAGAGGGAGGCGGAGATGGAAGTGGAGCATCTGCAGGCCAAAGTGTGCCCAGGACTGCCGGCAACACCACCAGAAACTGAGGCGGCAAGGCAGGACCTGCCCAGAGCCTTCAGAGGGGACACGGCCCTGATGACACTGCGATGGTGGACTCCAGCCTCCAGAACTGATTGTCTGCACAGCAGCCCTCAGAAACTAACACCCCACAATGGCCCTGGGCCCCCCAGCCTCAGGCAGGAGCCTGCTGGAGTATGCCAGCTGACTCACGGCAGACAGACCTCTAGGGGTGGCACATCTGTCACTGCAGTTGAGCTCCATGCCATCCCCCAATGAGGGGTCTGACTTGAATGAGGGCAGACAGATGGACAGACATCATCTTTTATGGAGAGCTGGTACTAAATTAAATACATGCCGAAAGAAACTGGCATTAGCAAGGAATAGCACTGAGCTCCCAAACAAAACCAGGGATCTTTACTGACCTTCTTTTTCAAGTTCGCTAACTCCACATCGCTTCACCTTGAACTTGGCCAGATATGGGGCTTTTGCAGCACTGAAAACAGAAAGAATGTGGCACCCATGAGGTAGCCGAGAAAAACTGCATACGAGGATGCTGCGGAAGCGAGGGATGGGCAGGGTGAGGCACCCACCTCTGCATCGGGGTCCCAGACTTGTAGTCGATGTCCAGCACGATGGCCTCCGGGTTGCTGGGCAGGTAGCAGCCTGTGCAGGGACAGAGGCAGTCACAGGGAGTGCATGTGTCACCAAGGTGAGGCCAGTGTCAGTTTCCAACACGGATGTTAGGTGCGAATCCACCCTGCAGGCACACCCCACCCCTGTGGAGGGCCTCTGGTCCTTGTCCAGGGCACTACTAACTTATTATTCTGCGGCCACTAAGGGTCTGTCCTCCCTGACTCTTCGACTCTTCCAGCCATTGACCAAATGAGTCAGAACCTTCCGGGACACGCTCTTGCTGGAGGAGCACTGAGCCCCATCCTCACGAATGCAGCCCTACTGCTTCTGGGGGCGCGTGTGAAGCCTGTCCTGCCTCCACCTGCCTGAGCAACCCTCCGAACAGCCCTCCATTCTTGGAGTCCCCTTTTTTTTTTTTGGATAGAGTCTCGCTCTGTCACCCGGGCTGGAGTGCAGTGGTATGATCTTGGCTCACTGCAACCTCTGCCTCCTGGGTTCAAGCGATTCTGCTGCCTCAGCCTCCCGAGTAGCTGGGATTACAGGCGCCCGCCACTGTGCCCAGCTAATTTTTGTACTTTTAGTACAGACAGGGTTTCACCATGTTGGCCAGGCTGGTCTGGAACTCCTTACCTCAGGTGATCCACCCAACTCAGCCTTCCAAAGTGCTGGGATTAGGGCGTGAGCCACCACGCCCGGCCAACATTGTTTCTTTATGCTTATTTTATATCTTTGTGAGTTCAAGCTTCTTCAGCTCAGGGTCCATGCCTTACTCATCTTTTTAACAGCCACAATACCTAATGTCATGCCTTTTCTTTTCTTGTTTTTGTTTTTTTGAGACAGAGTCTCACTCTGTCACCCAGGCTGGAGTGCAGTGGCACAATCTCGACTCACTGCAAGCTCCGCCTCCCAGGTTCACGCCATTCTCCTGCCTCAGCCTCCCGAGTAGCTGGGACTACAGGCGCCCGCCACCTCGCCCAGCTAGTTTTTTTTTGTATTTTTTAGTAGAGACGGGGTTTCACCGTGTTAGCCAGGATGGTCTCGATCTCCTGACCTCGTGATCCACCCGTCTTGGCCTCCCAAAGTGCTGGGATTACAGGCTTGAGCCACCGCGCCCGGCCCCATCTTCTCTTGAAAAGCTCAGCCTTAACCACACTGGGCTTGAATTGCCACGTGGCCACAGCCACAGGCACCCAGGAGTGGCTTCCTATGGGAGGCGGGGGGTGCTGATGGGTCCCAGCGCACATGAGCCATCCCACACTAGCCCCGCCTGTGTGACCTGCTCCTGTAATGCTGGCGCCCAGGAATCCTCTTCTAGAGTAACAGCTACTGAGGTCAGTGTCAGCCTCCAGAAAAACAGCAGGCAGCAAGGAAGATGAAGGGTACCCACGGACGAGCAGCTCCCGCTCACTAGGGGCAGATTCTGGGGAGCAGCTGGGGTCTTGGGGCACCAGGCACCATGGGCCCAAGCAGGTGTGGGGCTGGCCAAGCTACTGTGTCCACACCCTGCAATGCCTGGAGAGGGCAGCAGCCTTCACGCCCCGCGGCCCACCCGCAGGAAGAGGTTGGTCTGAGCCTTCAGAAGCCACCTGCTCACCCGGCTGCACCTTCACTTCAGACAGGGCCGACAGACAAGCCTTCTTTCTCTCGTCGCCTTTAGGGTAGGGCCTGAGAAACAGGAAAGAAATGCTTGGTCTCCTGGAGGAACTGGCTGCTGGGGGACAGCCCAGGGCCCCTCCCGCCTGGATTACCCTCTCTGTTCCTCTCTTCCCGGCTCTAGCTGCTCCTAGGGCAGCCAGGCACCACTGGCAGCGATTCTTGCCTTGCATTCCTTGTGGAGAATCCCTGACAGCCCCCAAGGGCGGTTTTCTGGCAGGCTCTGCCCCTGCTGTGTGGGGGGGTGTGTGGCTGGGGGGGGGTGGGGGTAATGCCTGCCACCTGCTGCCACCCAGGAAACGCTAGATCTGGTCCTTTATCTTGTGGGTTAGAAGCTGCCAGCACTGCTATTCTCAGCACCCAGCTCAGAAAAGGGTCTCAAGCTGACCAAGGTCAGAGCAGCGTAAGCACTGGAGACAGCCCAGCTAGCGTGCCCAGCATTGATGACTCCAGGGTTTCATCCCTTATGAATGGGCAAAGCCAACAACATCCAAGGATGGTGTCAGGTCCACACGAATGGAAGGTCCAGGAAAACGATGACGGGAGCTACAAAGGCAGTCTGGTGTTCCTGACATCATGAGGATCGATCCTTCAGAGTGTGGAGAGGGCAAGGTGGCCTCACATTGTGGAGCTATATGCTAAATTCTACAAACCTTAGGAACGAAACTAAGCTGTGTTTCCTGAAACTGGCGTGGCCATGCATTCTGCCATGCCTTCAAGAGCCTTGACTCACCCCAAGCAGTGCTTCCCCACCCACCCTGGCTGTCCATCAGAACCAGCAGTGGCCCCGTTGCTAGAGACTACTCTCATTCATCTGGTTGGGGCCAGGCATGGGCATTTTTAAAGCTTCCCAGGCATTTCTGTTAAGCTGCAGGGACTGGAACGAGACATCCCAGAAGGCGGTTTCTGAAGCACTGCACTTACTTGATGATAGCCGACACATTGGTGATCTTGTTAAAGAAATCAAACTCCCGCTGGTAAAAGTCCTTCGCTGGGCCCGACAAGGAGCCTGTGATCTCCTCTACTAACTGCTCCAGGAGGTCGCCGATGTCAGCTGCCAAGGAAACAAGACGCTGAGTCTCTGTGGCTGCGGAAGAGGCCCCTCAGGAATACCAGCGCTGTTTCCCAGTCCCCAGACAGGCAGTGCCCACTGTGTGCTCTGCAGGCTTGGTGAGACCGTAACATCTGCCATGCGCCCCTTCTGCTGTGTTGACACAGCTGACGCTGGTGGGAAAAGCTGCTGGTGCCTACGCAGAGCTCAAGGCAGGGGCCAAGCGCACAACTGAGCGTGGAATCCTCACTGCTACACACCCAGTAAGAAAAAAGCCCATATCATTTATGAATGTCACAGGTGAAGCAATGAGAATTTATTTTTATTAAACTCTACCCTGAATACATGTTTTTTTGTTGTTGTTGTTGTTAAATAGAGGCACACAGTGGGCGGGGCTCTATTAAATAGTGCCTCTCGTAATTCAAATCCCAGGTTGAATTTAAATTCCTGGGCTCAAGAGATCCTCCTGCCTCAGCCACCTGAGTTGCTGGGACTATAGCTAGTAGGTGGGACTACAGGTACGCATCACCACACCTGGCTTTTAAAGTATCCTTTGTGATGAAATGGGATGTGCATCTAAGGCAGGCGCTGTCCTGAGACGCACTTGGAGCTTGTCTGATTTTGGAGCCTGGACTAACCTTTTTCACAGACCTTGGTTTTTACTTGAAAAAATGACTGACAGACAACATACAGTTATTCAGACTGAGGGATGTGGCAGATGTTTTCCTGAAAATGAACAAAAAATGAATCTTCCACTCAAAGGAACAACTGAAACATTTTTTGGAAAACTTGGATCTGCCACTGTGAGCTCAACAGCTTCCCTTAAAAACCCTTTCTGATAAGACTGGCAGCATGTGAACAAATGATTTTTCCACATTGTATAAAGAAATACATCAACCTTTGAAAGATGTGCATAACTCACTGGCCTGTATTTTATAAATGCCCACTGTTTGATGTCATAAAAGCTGTCATGGGTCCAGGTGTGAAGCAGACCAATGGACTTGAACAAAACACAGTGTGAGAAGTTTACTGCCAAATTTAAGATGCCACACTGCAATTAACCTTTTTTTTTGGCGATCCTCCTGCCTTGGCCTCCCAAAGTGTTGGGATTACAAGTGTGAGCCACTGTGCCTGACCTGCAATTGGCTGAGCTACAAAAAATTAAAAATTAGCCAGTCGTGGTGGCATGCACCTACAGTCTCAGCTACTTGGGACGATGAGGCAGGAGGATCGCTTAAGCCCGGGTGGTTAAGGCTGCAGTGAGCCGTGATTACACCACTGCACTCCTGCCTGGGAGAGGGATCCCGCCTCTAAAAAAAGAAAACAAAAACTACCACTTGTCAAGTGTGGTGCAGTATCAAAAAGGATCTCCACAATGACCTGAAAGATTACTAACATACAACTTCCTTTTTCAAGTACATTCACTTCAACTGAAACAATGCTGCAATAGATCAACTGCAGAAGTGGAACGGAAATGAGAATCCAGCCATCTCCTACAAGGCAATGCCACTCTTTTGGCTCATTTTTGAGTTTTGGGGGGAAAGTTATTTTCCCAAAAAGATGTTATTTATGTTAACATGCAATGAATGAGCTTACATTTTCTGAAATTCTGTGTTAATTTCTAATTCTCGTTAACATTGACAGCTAATGCTCACATGAACCAGCGCTCTTTGAGGACCTCAATACTCATTTCTGACAGTGCAAGGGTCCTGAGGGTGTGCTATTTGGGAACCGCTGCCCTGGGCTGGCGGCCCCTTTCTCACACGCAGTCACAGTTGTGTTGAGCATGGAGACTCTGGAGAAGCAGCCATCGGAGCAGAAGGGTCTCACTCGCACTTGGGAGTGCAGGCTGGCATTGGACAGCAGGTTAGCAAAGGCGACATGAAGGAATGGTCCTGCTCCCATGTGTGCTGAAAGGTGAGAAGTGCCCTAGCAAAGGGTGGGAGTGGAGGGGTCGGTGAGCTGCGGCAGTGCAGGCTGGGGAGAGCCCTGTGGGCTGTCGAAGGTGCTTGGCAGTGCACTGAAGACAGAAAGTGAGGCCTGTGGGAGGACAAAATACTCACGGTCTTTCTGGTGGCCTTCTTCGTCTAGATAAATGTTAGTCTTCATGTTCCAGATGAACTGGTGCGCCAGAAGCTGGGATTTAGACGCTGCCCACAGAATATACTCCCGCACATAGCCCATCTGCAGGAGAGCAAGGTCCCTGTCAGCCAGGCTCGGAGGGCCCTCTCCACGAGGAGGGCCTTGTCAGTAGCTGCTGACTCCCGGCATTTGGAAGGCCAGGAAAGAGTGAGGCCCAGTGGTTCTAGTGGTGTGGCCAAGCTCTCCAGGATTGGTGGCGAGTCCAGCTGGTGGCCAGGTCAAGTTCCAGCCGGCTGGTGGCTGGGACCTGAGGGGCAGGGGTGCAAAACGGGCTTCAGTCAACCTTTGTCTCCTCTGTGTCTTCTCATGGGTTTAAGAAGCACAACTCTCAAACCAATTTCTGGGGTTGTCAAGTACGAGAAAAAGCAGGCTGGGTACTAAAAACTCACTTGTTAGCTGGTTGTTTAGAACAATGTTCCAAAGTGACAGACAGGTTCCAGAAACATGCAGATACACCTCCTTCACAAGTTGACACATTGATATGATTAGGCTTTGTGTCCCCACCCAAATCTCATCTTGAATTGTAATCCTCAGGTGTTGAGGAAGAGACCTGGTGGGAGGTGACTGGATCAGGGGGACGGTTCCCCCACGCTGATCTCATGACAGTGAGTGAGTTCTCAGAAGATCTGACGGTTTTATAAATGTTTGACAGTTCCTCCTACACACACACTTTCTTTCGCTTGCTGCCAGGTAAGATGGACCTACTTCCCTTTCTACCATGATTCTGCTTCCTGAGGCCTCCCTAGCCATGTGGAACTGTGAGTCCATTAAGCCTCCTTTCTTTATAAATAAACCAGTCTCGGGAAGTTCTTTTTTTTGAGACATAGTCTTACTCTGTCACCCAGGCTGGAGTGCAGTGGCGCCATCTCAGCTCACTGCAACCTCCACCTCCCAGGTTCAAGCGATTCTCCTGCCTCAGCCTCCTGAGTAGCTGGGATTACAGACGCACGCCACCATGTCTGGCTAATTTTTGTATTTTTAGTAGAGACAGGGTTTCGCCATGTTGGTCGGGCTGGTCTTGAACTCCTCACTTCAGGTGATCACCCCCCTTGGCCTCCCAAAGTGTGGGAATTACAGGCATGAGCCACTGCACTCGGCCAGGAAGTTCTTTATAGCAGTGTGAAAATGGACTAATATACACATCTACGGTCACCAACCTAAGGATCTCTCCTCCTCTTCCTTCTTGGTCATTTTCCGCCACTCACAGTAGTAACTCCAGTTTTTCTTTTTAATTACAAAATTTTTTTTTGTTTGTTCCTAGAGCCGTAAGTTTCAAAACTCCAGTTTTAATTCCATGCCCTAGGTTTAAAAAGGTGAGCTGGCCTTTCTGGGTAGCCTCCTGGAGTCTATGGACACTGATATGGTGAAGTATCCCTTGGATGGACATTTGTGACCTGGGTGAGGGGGGGTGGTCTTACCACACAGGCATAAGTCCTCGCTTTGGGTTTCCCAATTCTAACCCAGAAAATGGATCTAAAGATAAACTATGAATGTTCAATGTGTAGTGCTTTTTAAATATAAGTTTGCTTTATAATTGTGTAAACAATGACAGAGTTCCAAAGTCAAAATTATTAAATATGGTACATATCTGTTACTTCCATCCTGATCTCTCCCTCTTTGGCCATTTTTATTAACTTTTGATTTACTGTTCCCTTTTTTTTGTTTGTTTTTGTTTTTTGTTTTGAGATGGAGTTTTTTTTTTTTTTTTTTGGTGAGATGGAGTCTTGCTCTGTTGCCCAGGCTGGAGTGCAGTGGCGCATCTCAGCTGGCTGCAAGCTCCGCCTCCTGGGTTCACACCATTCTCCTGCCTCAGTCTCCCGAGTGGCTGGGACTACAGGCGCCTGCCACCACACCCGGCTAATTTTTTTTTTTTTTTTGTATTTTTAGTAGAGATGGGGTTTCACCATGTTAGCCAGGATGGTCTCCATCTCCTGACCTTGTGATCCGCCCGCCTTGGCCTCCCAAAGTGCTGGGATTACAGGCGTGAGCCACCGCGCCTGGCCTACTGCTCCTTTTTTTCAAAAAAAGTATAAACAAATATGTATATACATTTGTATTGCCACAAGTGATATAAGTTTTTTTAAACTTAAAAAAAATTCCAGGCCAGGGATGGTGGCACACACCTGTAATCCCAGCACTTTGGGAGGCCGAGGCAGGTGGATCACCTGAGGTCAGGAGTTCGAGACCAGCCTGACCAACATGGTGAAAACTCATGTCTACTAAATACAAAAAATAGGCCGGGCATGGTGACTCATGCCTGTAAACCCAGCACTTTGGGAGGCCAAGCGAGGTGGATCACCTGAGGTTAGGAGTTCAAGACCAGCTTGGCAAACATGGCGAAACCCTGCCTCTACTAAAAATACAAAAATTAGCCAGGTGTGGTAATGCACGCCTGTAATCCCAGCTACTTGGGAGGCTGGGGCAGAAAAATCACTTGAACCTGGGAGGTGGGGGTTGCAGTGAGCCGAGATTGTGCCACTGCACTCTAGACTAGGCAACAGACTCTGTCTCAATAAATAAATAAATAATAACAATTATTATTATTTTGAGACCGAGTGTCACTCTGTAGCCCAGGCTGGAGTGCAGTGGCGCAATCTCGGCTTACTGCAAGCTCCACCTCCCAGGTTCATGCCATTCTCCTGCCTTAGCCTCCCTTGGTAGCTAGGACTACAGGCGCTCACCATCACGCCCAGCTAATATTTTCTATTTTTAGTAGAGACAGGGTTTCACCCTGTTAGCCAGGATGGTCTCGATCTCCTGACCTCGTGATCCGCCCACCTCGGCCTCCTAAAGTGCTGGGATTACAGGAGTGAGCCACCGTGCCTGGCCATTAATTAATTAATTAAAAAAATTAACCGGGTGTGGTGGCACATGCCTGTAATCCCAGCTACTTGGGAGGCTGAGGTAGGAGAATTGCTTGAACCCAGGAGGTAGAGGTTACAGTGAGCTGAGATCACGCCACTGCACTCCAGCCTGGGCAACAAGAGTGAAACTCTGTCTAAAAAAAAAAATTTATATACATATACATATACACACACCGGCTGAGTGTAGTGGCTCATGCCTGTAATCCTAGCACTATAGGAGGCCAAGGTGGGTGAATCACCTGAGGTCAGGGGTTTGAGACCAGCATGGCCAACATGGTGAAACCCCATCTCTACTAAGAATACAAAAAATAAGCCAGGCATGGTGGCATGCACCTTCAATCCCAGCTACTTGGGAGGCTGAGGCAGGAGAACTGCTTGAATCTGGGAGGCAGAGGCTGCAATGAGCCGAGAGTGCCACTGCACTCCAGCCTGGGCAACAGAGTGAGACTGTCTCCAAAAAAAAAAAAAAAAAAAAAAAAAAAAAAAAAAATCCCTAAAAATGGACAGCAAGAAAGAAACCAGGGAAACTCGCTGAGTCCTGAGTTGGTACAACCAGACACAGAAGAATTGTTTCAGGCAGCCTTTCTCTGGTAGCCACCACCAAGAGTTCACACAGAGGCCCTGGGCACTGGCTCCCCTCCCCACTGCCTCTGGACCTAACCCTTATGCTAGGCCTGTATGGAAGCAGAGAGCCAAGCAGTCAAGGGAAAATAATGTGGGAGGGGAGCCAGGGGGAAGGAAACAGGTCCCTGAAGAGAAGGTGCCTCATGACAATCCTGTAAGTTGCCACCAGTGTGAAGGCTCCAGCTTGGTGAGTGTGGCTCCACACATATCACTGCTCTGAGGTGCAGAGAGCGTGGCACCACCTAGTGAGGGCAGTGAATGATTTCACAGGACTCAGTCTTTCAACAGAGGCTGGCTGCTGTTCTAGAAGCACTTTGGTCTACAGACTCTAGGGCTAGCCCCTGGGACACCCAGTCATGGCACTCAGCCAGCCCATAGGTGGGCCACGTGGTGAGGGCTCAGCCAGGACACATGGAGTCTGCTGCCCAATTCAGTCAGGGAAACAAGGCCAGCTCTGGGGTTGGGGAAGAGGGCAGACAAGTTGCACTCAGACACAGAGTGCAGTGGGCGGGCTGGCACGAGGGCACAGGAGGCTCAGGCTCCTGGCTGTGGTCACTCTCATGGATATTTTCTGTGCCACAACCTGTGCTGAGTACCTTAAGTCCACAGACACTGTTATGGGCTGAATTATGTCCCTTCAAATTCATATGTTATAGGAGCTCAGAATGGTACTATATTTGGAGATAGGTACTTTATAGAGGTGATTAAGGTAACATGAGGTCAATAGAGTGGGTCCTAATCTAGTATGATGGGTGTACTTATAAGGGGAGATTAGGACACAGACACACAAAAGGATGACCCTGTAAGGACTCAGAGAGAAGATGGCTATCAATAAGCCAGGGAGATGGGCATGGTGGCTCAGACCTATAATGGTGGCTCAGACACTTTTGGAGGCGGAGGTGGGCAAACTGCCTGAGCTCAGGAGTTTTGAGACCAGCCTGGGAAAACATAGCGAAACTCTATCTCTACAAAAAATGCAAAAATTAGCTGGGTGTGGTGGCGCATACCTGCCATCCCAGTTACTTGGGAGGGGTAGCGGATGAGGTGCTGAGGTGGGAGGATGGCTGGAGCCCGGGAGGTTGAGGCTGCAGTGAGCTGAGATCATGCCACTGCACTCTAGTCTGAATGACACAGCGAGACCCTGTCTCTTAAAAAAAAAAAAAAAAAAAAAAGCCAGGGAGACAGGCCTCAGAAGGAAGCAACCCTGCTCACACCTTGACCTTGGACTTCTGGCCTCCAGAATTCATGGGTTTTTTGTTTGTTTTGTTTTTTGGCCTCCACAATGCTGAGAATAGACATTTCTGTCATTTAAGCTGCCCAGTCTGTGGTGCTTCACTACGCAGCCCTGGCAGACTAATGCATACGTCACCTCGTTAATCTTCCTCACCACTTCTGGCTGAAGAGAGCAGGATTCAGGGATTTGAGGTGACCCCACCAACGAGAGGGAAGCCTGGCCAGGCTGGCAACAGCCCCAGAACCGGCTCACTCCGCAGAGCATGCTTGGGCCTCAGGGTGAGGCAGTGGGTGAACATGGCTTCCCCTGGCATGGCACTGGGTATCAAGAGACAATCACAGAGGCTCGGGTAGGGGGAGCAAGGGGACTGCTGGGCAGCCCTGTCCCTGAGGAGGCTCTGAGGAGCCTGTGAGGGCCGGGGATAGACCAGGCACAGGCTGGGTGTGGAGCACACTCTGCAAGTGAAGAGGACGGCCATGCAGGTGCAAGCTTACCTTGTCGTACCTGAGGGCCTGCACGATCTGGGGGATGTAGAAGAGGATGGCGTCCTGTGGAGGAGAAGCAGAGTTGGTCATGACTTCTAAGAGCAGAGCCACCCAACCCTATGGCCCAGGTCCTGCCTCTGCTTCTGCTCTGCCCACAGCAGGGCTGAAAACTGGGGAAAGCCCGGAGGATGGCGGGCAAACAGACTGATGGCTCAGAACACAGGAATGGAGGAAACAGGTAAAAGGAGCAAGGCTCCTGCTCTACAGTGAGTGGGAGGGCCTCACGCTCCTCACTGGGGAGCCTGCCTCAGGAAAATGGTCTGCTGTGGGTCAGACTCTAGAATATTCCAGAGGCCTTTCTCCACCATCATCACAGCTGTCTCGTGGGCTCCCTGGGCTCCCACAAGGAGGGAGGGACCCTCCATGGGCAAGGTCACTGTGGGGTTCCAAGACACAGCTGCACTGCCATGTGGGTTGTGCACAGCTGCTGCGCTGCCTCATAATCAAACTCAAGTAAACTGTATGTCTTTAACTCGAACACCTCACTCAGGTCAAAAAACAAATGTAACTAGAGAACACATTTGAATTAGAACTAAATCCATCTTCTACAACTACTTGAACAAAAACAGGGAAAGGAACAGTATGTAATGGGGTGACCTCATGGCCAGTGGTGGGGCCTGTGCCTCTCTCCAGGTAAGACCCCTCCTAACAGTCCCACCAGAGGCCAGCTCAGCAGGGCCCTGGGCTCACCGGAGGGAAGGACCGCAGGACTTTCACCCCGTACTGCGCTGTGAGAGGGTGCGGCGGGTACATGCTGGAGAAGTAGGAGAGGCCCGTGGGTGGGTCTGTGGGTGCCCAGCACAGCACATGGCTGAGCTCCGGAGCGTCGGCGTCGATGGTGTGCCAGGTGACCAGGAACTGCGGAGGAGGTGGGGAGATGCTGTGGCTTGGGCAGTCCCGGGACCTCTGGAGATACCTGGCCCACTAGCCACACCACAAGGATGGTCATGAGAAGTGATGTTTCTAAGCATCTGTAACCATGTGGAAGATGCTTCTGATGTGTTATGGAAAACAGCGTAACTGCAATTAGGGTGAAGTGCGTTACATTTTCTTCTACTGTAAACAAATAAATGCTACAGACAAGCAATAGACAACACAGGAAATCAGAAAAATCATGAATAGTACTGAAGTTGCCACATGGCTATTTTTGTCTCATTTCCAGTTTCAGGCATTTTTGTCTCATTTCTAGTTTTGTCTCATTTCTAGTTTCAGTGCTGTTTTGTGCAGTTTGAACTCAGGCCCTGGCACATGGGCTACACTACCTTGATCGCTTCAGGCACATCACTAACGGCTCCTGGGTCCAACCGAACGAGACGGGTCACTTCATTCCCGATGGCTTCTGTGTTCTTAAACCTACAGGGCACAGAGGGTATGGGTGGTGCTGCCTCGCCAGGGAAACCGCGCTCTCCCACACAGTAGAGGGAGGGGAGCCAGAGGGAAACGCTGAACTGGAGGGATTCACATCAATACCAAGTGACGGCTTGGGTACAAACAAATAGAAAGAATGAAGACCTGCTATTTGATAGCACAACTGGGGGACTATAGCCAATAATAATTGTACATTGAAAAATAACTTTAAAAGAGTGTAGGCCAGGTGCAATGGCTCATGCCTGTAATCCCAACACTTTGGGAGGCCGAGGCGGGCGATTCACAAGGTCAGATCGAGACCATCCTGGCTAACACAGTGAAACCTCGTCTCTACTAAAAATACAAAAAATTAGCCGGGTATGGTGGCGGGTGCCTGTAGTCTCAGCTACTTGGGAGGCTGAGGCAGGAGAATGGTGTGAAGCCGGGAGGCGGAGCTTGCAGTGAGCCCAGATCATGCCACCACAGTCCAGCCTGGGCGACAGAGCGAGACCCCGTCTCAAAAAAATAAAGAGTGTAACTGGATTGTTTGTAACTCCAAGGATAAATGCTTGAGGGGATGGATACCCCATTCTCTGAGATGTGCTTATCTCACATTGCATGCCTGCATAAATACAGACGTCTATTACATTTGCACAGAAATTTTAAAAAAAGTTTAAATAAAAAAATGGTTAGCCAGGTGACGGCTAAATGTTCTATTATGTCACTAACTAGCAGGTCTGAACATTAGTGCTTTTTTTTTAAAAAAAAGCATTATTATCCGCTGTGATGAAATGCTAGAACTTTCTTAAAGAAACACAAATTTTCCTACACTTACTGTTCAAAACGCTTCCTTTCACCATCCTTGTCCTAAATCTCCTGCCTCTTATTCCTTTTCCTACCATATCTTCCCCTGACTCTCCACAGCTACCCATCCAGTGAGTCAGTGTCTCAGTCCACAGTCCAGGGGCCACAAGGCACCTGGCCCATGAAGGGGCAGCTACTAGTTTCCAGGTGTTCCCACCTCAGGCTAATGCAAGGCAGATGCCCCACGAGCACTGTGCTTTGAGGCAATGCAGAGCTGCTCTGCGATCCTACTCCAGAGGATCAAAGTAGGGCTGGAGGGAGGATGCAGTACACTGGCAGGTCTGGGCTCACAACGGAGAATCACCCACCCTGGACACATTCATGGGAGGCTGTGGATCATCTGGTGGAATTCTCTTTTTTTTTTTTAGTAGAGACGGGGTTTCACCGTGTTAGCCAGGATGGTCTCGATCTCCTGACCTCGTGATCCGCCCGTCTCGGCCTCCCAAAGTGCTGGGATTACAGGCTTGAGCCACCGTGCCCGGCCGGAATTCTCTTTCTTTTTGGAGACAGAGTCTCGCTCTGTCACCCAGGCTGGAGTGCAGTGGCGTGATCTCAGCTCACTGCAAGCTCCGCCTCCTGGGTTCACACTATTCTCCTGCCTCTGCCTCCGGAGTAGCTGGGACTACAGGTGACCGCCACTGTGCCTGGCTAATTTGTTTTGTATTTTTAGTAGAGACGGGGTTTCACCGTGTTAGCCAGGATGGTCTTCATCTCCTGACCTCGTGATCCACCCGCCTCAGCCTCCCAAAGTGCTGGGATTACAGGCTTGAGCCACTGGGCCCGGCCCCATCTGGTGGGATTCTAAACAGGGACTCTGCAGTCCCTCTCAGCCACCATCGGTCTGAGGTTCTGTTCCTGTAAGAGCTGCCACAGGCAGTTCACAGGAATGTGGCTGCTGTCTGCAGCATGTGCCTCCTCCGAGTACTCTGCCACTGAAAGGTGACATCCAGGAACAAACCCAAACCCTCCCCAAGGCGGATCCGGCAGCCACCTGCCAGGAGTGACAGCCTTCACATGCCTCCTATCCGGCATGAATCAGATCTTGGCTCTGAATTCACCCTGCTGCTACCTCCCTAGGCTCCAGGTGCTGCAGCACCCCAGGCAGGCATCTGAAAAGATCACAAGGGTTGCTGGGTTATCTCTGCACAGAAGAGCTGGGGGAGTGTCCTGGCGCTTCATGATCAAAGTAGCCTGCTAGACTACTTCCTGACCGTCCTTGAGAGGGGCTGCAGGGTGCTCCCCAGCATTCATGACCCAGCTGGCAGGCGCCCTGCTCTGGGCCTCTGGTGAGGCCTGTATCAGGCCGTGGTGCCTGGGGGCGTGCCTGGGGGCCCACCTGGCAGGCAGCTGCACAGCCAGGTAGGGAGAGATGCTCCAGGCCAGGTTCACGTTGTCCTTCCACTGCTTCTCACTCAGGCTGATGTACTTAGATCTCCAGTTGGCCACGCTGTTCTCTCCGGCCTGGTCTAGCTCCAGTTCTGGGGCTGACAGTGGGTTGTACCATGTGATGAGCCGCTCGATCTCAGTGGCCTGGCAAGATAAGATATAAGGCCTGATATGCACGCCTTCTGTGAGTGACCACACACTGCCCCAGCCACCAGGTGTTGTACGGGCAGGTGGTGGGCAGCAGGCACAGCTGCACCTGTGGGCCTCACCAGCAGGGACAGCAGCAGCGTCCTTCGCTTCATGTAGTATTTGTGTAGCTGGGAGCCCCGGTTGGTTTTCTTAGACATGCCTAGGAGGAAAGACAAAGCACAGGTGTAGTCCTCAGATGCCACCTGCCTGCCCTGAGTTTCTAAACCTAGAGGAAGCTTGCAGTGCTCTGTTCTGTTGTCTGAGCAAGTGTCCATCAAGTAGCTTGCAACCAGGATGGTAACTTGTATGTGAGGGCCCCAGGAGCATGCCTCCCACTGACCTGACTTCTTGGAGATGGTGGACATGCCACTGGACAGGGGGTAGGTGTTGATCCAGCCTTGGGTGGCTTGTTGCCGAGAGCCAACAGTTATGTCCAGGTTGCTCCGGGTGTCCTGATTATCTGAGGGCAAACACATTGTTGATTCTAGAGTGAGGTGGCTCAAGAAAAGGTATCACAAAAAGTAAACTAATATTCACCAGAGATAAGGCAATCAGTGGTACAGTGGGAAAGAGTCCTGGAATTGACTGCAGGAACAAACCTGTCTGGATGGTGAGTTTTCCAAAAGCGTGAGTAATTCTTTAACTATTCTAGATGGAATGCTTAAACATTTTAATTATATTTCTTCTATCCTTTTCAAATATTTTTTATTTAATTAATTCATTTATTTATTTTTGAGATGGAGTTTTGCTCCTGTCACCCAGGGTGGAGTGCAATGACACAATCTCAGCTCACTGCAACCTCCACCTCCTAGGTTCAAGCAATTCTCCTGCCTCAGCCTTCCGAGTAGCTGGGATTACAGGTGCCTGCCACCACACCCAGCCCATTTTTGTATTTTTAATAGAGACGTGGTTTCGCCATGTTGGCCAGCTGGTCTTGAACTCCTGACCTCAGGTGATCCACCGGCTTCGGCCTCCCAAAGTGTGGGATTACAGGCGTGAGCCACCGTGCCCGGTCTATTTTTCATTTTTGAGAGGGAGTCTCGCTCTGTTGTAGTGCAGTGGCGCAAACTCGGCTCACTGCAACCTCTACCTCCTGGGTTCAAGCTATTCTCCTGCCTCAGCCTCCCAAGTAGCTGGGACTACAAGCGCCCACCACCAGGCCTGGCTAATTTTTGTATTTTTAGAGAGATGGGGTTTCACCATATTGGCCAGGCTGGTCTCGAACTCCTGACCTCAGGTGATCCACCTGCCTTGGCCTCCCAAAGTGCTGGGATTACAGGCATGAGCCACCGCGCCTGGCCTTCTTCTATCCTTTAAAATATTATAGGCTGGGCACAGTGGTTCATGTCTGTAATCCCAGCACTTTGGGAGGCTAAGGCAGGTGGATCGCTAGAGGCCAGGAGTTCGAGACCAGTCTGGACAACAAGGCAAGACCCCTATCTGAACAACAACAATAATAAAAATTAGCTGGGGGAGCTGGCATGTGTCTGTAGTCCTAGCTGCTTGTGAGGCTGAGGTGGGAGAATCGCTTGCACCCAGGAGTCTGAGGTCGCAGTGGGCTATGATTACACAATTGCATTCCAGCCCGGGTGACAGAATAAGACTCCATTTCTAAAAAAAGTAGAAAATAGAATAAAACAAGTATCATAATTTTCTTGATAAAGGATGGCAATTACCTGATCACCGGTAATGTATAGTCCTTTAGCAGGGTGATAACTTGAGGGCCTGTGGGGCAGACTGTAAGGACTGTTTGCCCTCTTCTAAGTGGAGCCAGAAAGCTGCCTCAGAAAATCACTGCATCTGCTTCTTTCTTTCCTTTTCCTGCTAGTCAGGTTGTCACCCGTGGGTCTGCTAAAGAAAACCCTATTGGCCAGGCACAGTGGCTCACACCTGTAATCCCAGCACTTTGGGAGGCTGAGGTGGGTGGATCATGAGGTCAGGAGTTTGAGACCAGCCTGGCCAATATGGTGAAACCCCGCCTCCACTAAAAAATAAAAAAATTAGCCAGGCATGGCGGCACACACCCATAGTTCCAGCTACTCAGGAGGCTGAGGCAGGATAATTGCTTGAACCCAGGAGGCAGAGGTTGTAGTGAGCCAAGATCGCGCTACTGCACTCCAGCCTGGGTGACAGAGTAAGACTCTGTCTCTCAAAAAAAAAAAAAGAAAACCCTCTCTCTCGTCTCTCAGTCTGTGCTTAGTAATCAGCTAGGTACTGGGAGAACAAGGGCATGGCCTCCTTGGAGCTGTTTGCTGCTTGTTTGTGTGGTATGTTTCCCTTAAGCATTCCCTTCCCTGGAATGCTGTGCCCCATCCACCCTGCATGCCTGTGCAGTCTTTCAGACTCAGATCAACTGTCATCTCTTCCAGAAAACCATCTCTGACTCCCCACTCTGGAGGGGCTGAGTGTCTATCCCGAGGAGTGCTCCCACAGTCCCCCCATATTGAAATCACCTGTCCATTTGACTGCCCCCTACCAGACGACAACAGACCACACCCCAGTCATGTGAGTGCACTAGCCTCAGCCCAATCCTGGGCCGTCAGCTGCTCAGAGGGGTGTGTGAACGCAGCCGGTGCCAGTGCAGGGAAAGTGCGGAGAGTGGAGTCTGCTCAGGGTCCTTGGGTGCGGGTTTATGCTTCTCAGCTTAGGCTGGAGAAGCAGAGCCAGGCAAGCGCCGGCCTCCAATGACCGTGCAACACAGCCAAGGCCAGGGCTCAGGGGGCTCTAACTGCTTCTCCATCCCTACCTCTGGGACCCTCAGGGCTGCCCACGTTGCACCCCTGTCCTGCCTGCCTCCACCATGAGCGGCTGCACTGCTGAGGGTTACCTGGGGGAACAAGCTGGCTGGCGGTCAGGTACTTCTTATCTGAGAACATGGCGGTCCAAAATTTAATCATGATGCTTATGTCTTCACGCAGCCGCTTCTCTCCTTGAGTAGGGAACTTTGGGGGACAGCTTCAAACAACCATAAGAGGACAAGGGCTGAGTGTCTGGAGTTGGGGACTAGAGGCCAGTCACACAAAGCAGTGAGAGGTGATGTACACAGTTTCTTAATGACAAAGGGTCAGCCCAAAGCCCGTCATTAGCAGGGATGATCTGGCCCATTCCCATGGGAAGGTGTGGTGGCTCCGGAGCCCTCTTATGCCCTCCTCCCTCACTGCCCACAGCAGCCCCTACAGCTTTCCACCGAAGCTGCGCTTGTGGCAGATCAGGGCAACGAAGCTGCACTCATACAACAGCACAGTCTATGGGTGCAGAGCCCCAGGCAGTGGGTGTTTGCAATTCTTTGTGCAATAAGCCTTCACATTAACAAGGAAATTAAATGGACGCACTTAATCTCCTAAATCAGTTGAACTGAGGGAAAATTTGCCTACATCTCGCTGGGAGGCTAGCTCTCAGTACACAGGACACATGCACAGGGCTGAGGGTATTTAAATCCAGGGGGCTAGGGCTACTGAAGGAGGAGGTTGGTGAGCACAACTGGGCAACTGTGTACTCCTGTGAGTGACTTCCTGGGGGTCTGGGGCGGTAGAGCACTTGCAGGGGCTGGGCCATCCCTGGACACTGCACAGCACACCTTGGGGAAGTACCTGAAGTAGTCAAAGGCGGTGGAGTAGATCTTCTCGCGAAGCACATTGCGGATGGTTGCATTTGGAACCACGTCGGCATGCAGGAGGGACAGCCCCAGGGTCAGCAGCCTGTGAGGGAGCCCGGGACCCAGTCAGAGCAGGAGCCTGGCCTGGGGCCAAGTTCACCCTCTGGACTCTCTTCCCTGCCCTTCCAGGAGCAGCTCACTGAAATGTGTTCCCTGTCTACGGAAGTACTGTGACACACAGACACCCCACGACACACTGTACACACCAGGGGCCCCGTGCTCCCCAGGAAGAGGGCCCTCACTTGAAGCGGGGCCCGATGGCCGCCACATGCCGGTTCATGCTTCCCTTGGCCCCGCCGATGTTCAGGGACATGGAGCGCTGCAGCAGGCTGGAGAAGATCTCCACTTGGTCAGAGCTGCAGTACTTGGCAATCTCAAACCGCTGCACCAGGAACTGAGTGAGAAGAGGAAGACACTGTGGTGGTGGGGCTGCGCTGGGCTAACCCTGGGACCGGCAGAGACAGCTGAGGAGGGGCTCTGGGCTGACTGGCCGGGCTTGCCAGAGGCTGGAACAGTCAGCCCCTGAGGTCACAGCGTCTGAAAACCTGCAGGCCTCGGGTTCGGCTACCCCCACCCCAAGAACAGTCCTGGCCCCCCCAGGTGGAGCACCCCAGAGCCTTGGTGGGGGAACAGGCACGTACGTCGATCCAGATGTAGTGGGGGGTCACTTCAGGAGGACAGGGTTTGGGTTGACTCGCTTCCGAGGCGGCCAGGGGGTCTGCTTCCTTTATCTCAGCAGAAAACAGGCCAAACTTCTGCTCCACCGTCATGTGCCAGGCCCCTGCCATCTCCCGCATGAACTACAGGTACAGAAGGAATGTTAGCTCCTCTGTGAAACACAAAAAGGGGCTACTGTCATGTTTTCTCTAATTAAAAAAAAGGAACATATGCTCACTGAGTAAGATTTAGAAACCGAGAAAAGTATGAAGAAAAAAATGAAGATCGCCTATAGTCCCACATCCCAGGGTCATCCGTGTCAGTGCTTGGTGTATTTTCTCCAGCCTCTCGAGGCTGCATTCTACTCAACCCAGTTCATGGTGTGGACATTGCAGGGTGTGAGATGGCAGCACCCGGGATGTGCCTGATGCCCTGACAGGCACTGGGTAGCTGACTTTTCTCTATAACCCTGAGAACCCTCTGTAGCTGTGAGCGGGAAGACTCCTGTGGGGGCTGCTGAGCTGACAAGGGCAGAAGAGGGTTCTGGATCCAGAGCCTGGCTCCTCCTCTCCACCCCACACAGACCCTACCCGATGCCTTCATCCCACTAACCAGATCAGGAACAGCCCATGGAGCTGAGGAGAGCCTGCAGCCACCATGGCTAGGCCTGGGAGCCCAAGCTCAGGCTGCTCCCACGGCCCAGTCATGCTCAGCCAGGTCCCCATTCCTTGGGGAGGCATGAGGGGTGCCCAGAGGGAGCAGCATAGTGCCAGGGAGACACCTAGGTGCTGGAGAGAGTAAGAGGTGCGGCTCACATGTGGAAAGCCCCCACAATTTCTGGGTGTTTCTACAAGGAGACCAAGAAACAGCATTTGGCGTCTGGCCATAGAGGATTTCTATCCCTCTATTGTCCCAGCAACACCAACTCCTGCAAGGGCTCCAGGCGCCTGTGCAGACGTGGCAACAAGGCCCAGTGAGCAGAACACACACCGAGGCTCCTCTCCAGTACCCATCCCCTCCCTTCTTCCTCATGAGGTGGATCAGGGTGGCCACGTGGCCAGTCACGGAGCTCTCAGCCAGGCTCCCTGCTGGCTGGGGCAGCCACTGTTCTCTCCGGCCACTCTAATGAGCCAGGGAGAGCGAACTGGGCAAGGCCCTGGGAATGCACGCCAGGGTGAGCTTCATAAGGTCAAGGCAGCTGGCCTCTGCCTTTTGCACTCTGCTCTTGTCTTCCTTCCTGCTGGGAGGCACAGAAGCCATCTGGAAGCCGTGAGGGTAGAGACAAAGGCCACATAAGCCCAAGATGGCCAGGAGCCGACAGGAGCCTGGGGCGGGGCTGCACTACTCTGTCTGCTGCTTCCCTCTAAGCTGCCCGTGGGGTGAGGACTCCTGGGGGACGAGACACTAGAACCACTAGAACCTGCTTTCTGTTTCCTGAAGACCGATGTAGTCTTATGGAAACAGACAAGGGAGCAAAAAATGTGTCGGGGGGAACCCCAGAACTTCCAGGGATAAGAAGCCACGGCAGAGCCACACTCCCACCTATTTGTTAAACAACCACATCCTGGTGGCTGCCTCTGTGCCAGGGCCTCGTGGGCTCTGGGCGTGGTGCCGCAAATGAAGACAAACATGACCACACAGTCTACAGTGGGGACCACAGACAATAAGAAATAAGCTACACACACTGAGAAACACTAAGAAACAGTGCGAGTGAGCGTGTGACAGACCTGGTGGCCAGGGAGAGCCCTGGCAAGGAGGGGACATCTGAGATGAGCCCTGGAGGAGATGCAGGAGTGAGGCGCAAGGCACGGCTGTCTGAGAAGAGGAAGTGTATGACACGGCTTATGGTGGGAGCAGCCCAGGAGGGCAGCTTCAAAAGTGAAGCTGACGGGATGTGCAGAGAATCATCCGTGGGAAGTGCAGGCCGGACCCCAGCATGGCCACAGCACAGCAAGCGAGGGGAGGAGAGGGGATGGAAGTTGGGTGGGAAGGGGGCTTGCAGGTCACAGAAACAGGCCCGCCTTTGAGTCTGTAGGGGGGCTCTGATTCCCCCCTGGCTTGCGCCAGCTGCATGTGGAGAAGGGGAAGATGCCTGGGGGTGGGGAGCAGGAGGCCAGGCCAGGGGGCAGCAGCTGGGATGCTGGGACTTGTCAGATCCTGGATAAACCTCAAAGGTGAAACTGATGGGATGTGCTGAGAGTCATCTGTGGGATGTGCACAAGAGGAAGTCAAAGATGTCTGAGCAGAGGGAAGGACCTTGCTGGCATCTACAGTGAAGGGAAGGACCATGCTGGCATCTACAGCGAAGGAAGGGGCCATGCTGGCATCTGTAGTGAAGGGAGGGACCTCGCTGGCATCTACAGTGAAGGGGCGAACCTTGCTGGCATCTATAGTGAAGGGAAGGGCCACACTGGCATCTACAGCGAAGGGAGGAACCTTGCTGGCATCTACAGGGAAGGGAAGGGCCACACTGGCATCTACAGTGAAGGGAGGGACCTCACTGGCATCTCACATGAAGGGAGAGACCTCGCTGACATCTACAGTAAAGGGAGGGGCCACACTGGCATCTACAGTGAAGGGAAGAACCACCCTGGCATCTACAGTGATGGCAGATGGGCGACCAGTGTAGGGGTGTCTGGAGCTGAGGTTGGACCCATTAGTTGGGGCTGCTAATCAGTTCACCACGTGGGCTGTGGGCCAAGCCACCGAAGGGATGCACCTGGACTAGGGGTGACTGGGCTAGGTAAGCAGTGGAGCTGGCCAGACTGCCCAGGCAGGAAGGAGGAGCCCTGGGGCATGCCAGTGCTGAGAAGGCCCTGGGCTCAAGAAGGTCCCTTTATTCTGGAGGACGAAAGGGCTACAAAAATTACAAAGGCCTTAAGTCCCTGGGAAGGACTGTTAGGCTCCCACAACAGTTGCTTTCAAGTCCCAGTGCTCTGAAGGAGGCTGTGAGCAGCTTTCCCTGAGCTGATCTGTCCTCCTACCACCTGGGACCTGCTAGTGATATCCGTACTCCATCTGCCCTGCCCCAGGGGTCCCCGGAGGCTCATTCAACCCACTCTTATCTGAGGATCAGACAGGGAGGCCAGAGGTTCAAGGGCACCTAGACTAAGGAAGTGGAGAGGAGAGGAACGGATCCGGGCTCCGGAGCCCCAGGCACAATGTGAGGGCTGACCTGTGATCAGGAGCACCCCCACTGCCCTGTGAAATGGGAACAGCTGCAGCCCCTACTCTTTTTTTTTCTGAGACGGAGTCTCGCTCTGTCGACTAGGCTGGAGTGCAGTGGTGCAATCTCAGCTTACTGCAAGCTCCACGTTCCGGATTCACACCATTCTCCTGCCTCAGCCTCCCAAGTAGCTGGGACTACAGGCGCCCGCCACCTCCCCCAGCTAATTTTTTGTATTTTTAGTAGAGACGGGGTTTCACCATGTTAGCCAAGATGGTCTCGATCTCCTGACCTCGTGATCTGCCTGCCTTGGCCTCCCAAAGTG